CAAAAAAAAAACAAGTGAACAACAGGGTGAGAATGTGGTAAAATCCGAAAACACGGTAAAAATCAGACGAGGGCTTTTCTTTTTCTGGACGGCTTTTGTAAATCATCGGTTGAGTTTAGGGAAGTAAGCGGGCGGGTCAATCTGTAAAATTGGTTGGCTTTAGGGAAGAAGGAGGGTCGGTCAGTCGATTGGCCGGTCGCTTAGTTAATCATTCAGTCAGTCAAACAGACGGTCGGTCGACAGCAGCCTCTGGTGGGTTTACGCGAGAACAGCAGATGCGAACAGGACTCGAGAGAGACATTTGAGATATGAAAAAGCACACACAGCGCCCTCTCGCGGTTTCACGAAGAAAAAACCTGCAAAAATACGCACCTCCCAGGACAGAATTCAAGGTCTCCAGAATGAGACTGGCTTGGTAAAAAGCCTGGGTTGGAAAGATACGTTATAAATTAGAGACAGCGTTAAGTTGTTTTGTGATGTTCATTCAGGCAAAGAACTGCATTAAATAATCACACAGTATGTCTCTGTAAATATCATGTGTGTGAATAGGAATGAACGTTGTTGTCATCATACTGCCCCCTAGTGTTCATTTCACCTACCATCTGCAAGTGCTTAAGTTTGTTTTTCAGCTTCACAAAGAAATGGAGCATGTATTTCCAATTAGCCTGTGCTGAATGATGTTTGCATCTGACAGCAGTGCATGTGCTAATGCCTTCCCTAATGTAGAACAAACATCCAGTTTTGGTTTCTAGCTTCCTAACTGCTTTCATTACAAGTGAAATAAACAGCAGTTTCCAAAATGAGTCCCAAATGAACACTATGGTGTGTATTTTCTGCTAATGCATAACATCAGCCTTGTTTTGCAGTGTTTATAAGAGACTGCATGCAGAAATTCTTGACTGTGTTCATGAAGTCTACTATCATTAACATTATCGTTATTATTAGTCTATGATAAGCTGCTTTGGCACAGCCCACATTGCAAACAGTGTTTTAGAAATAAAGATGGATTGAAAATTGAATATTGGAAAGCTCTTAGATTAGAATGAGACTATAATTCAGGTTATAATTCATTCAATCATTTCCCTTCGGCTTAGTTCTTTATTTATTAGCGGTCACCACAGTGGAATGAACCGCCAACTATTCCAGCATATGTTTTACACAGTGGATGCCCTTCCAGCTGCAACCCAGTACTGAGAAACACCCATACAGACTCATTCACACACACACTCATACACTACGGCCAATTTAGTTGATCAGTTCCCCTATAGCGCATGTGTTTGGACTGTGGGGGAAACCGGAGCACCCGAAGGAAACCCACGCCAACATGGGGAGAACATGCAAACTCCACACAGAAATGGCAACTGACCCAGCCGAGGCTCAAACCAGCGACCTTCTTGCTGTGAGGCCACAGTGCTGACCACTGAGCCACCATGTCACCGGAAGCTTGTTTTGCCATGAAACAATAAATAAACTAAAAAGTTAATTGCAATTTTATTTTCTCCCTCATCTGTGAGAAAGAATACAAGACAGAAGTCACCGATAGAAAGCTCAGTCTGAGAGCAGCTCTATATAGGAACACTTCCTCTCAGAAAGAGATGTCTGAGATCTTTTGCTGCTGCTGCTGAAAACAATCCCTGACCGTGATCCTTGTTTACTTCTCTGCTTGTTTACTTCAGACATTCTTATTATAAGAAAGAAACAGAGCAATAGTAGAGCACATCATTTCCTCATATTCTCAGGCCTAGTTTCTACAACAACTGAGAATGTGCTTCTGCTGGAAAACAGCCAGCAACACCTTCAGCTCAGCACAGAAACACACTGCTTCCAGATTTAGCTAGAACACTCCTGCTGTGACGCAAATGTGCCATCTTTAAAGGAACACTTTTATTTATTTATTTATTTATTTATTTATTTATTTATTTATTTAATTATTTAATCATTTAATTATGTTTGTTTGTTTATTTCCCAGAGATGGGTTGCAGCTGGAAGGGCATCCGCTGTGTAAAAACTTGCTGGATAAGTTGGCGGTTCATTCCGCTGTGGCGACCCCGGATTAATAAATGGACTAAGCCGACAAGAAAATGAATGAATGCTTGTTTGTTTATTTATTAAATAAGATCCTTTTGGTGCTCTTTTAGAGTTAAACATTCATTCATTCATTCATTTTGATTCCTCGTTCAGCTCAGTCCCTTTATTCATCACAGTGGAATGAACCGCCAACTATTCCAGCATATGTTTTTTGCAGCGGATGCACTTCCAGCCATAACCCAGTACTGGGAAACACCCATACACACTCATTCACACACACACACTACGACCAATTTAGTTAATCAATTTTCTTATAGAGCATGTGTTTGGACTGTGGAGGGAACCGGAGCACCCGGCTAAACTGTGACAATATGGTCTAACTCGATTCAATGATCTCTAAATTCTTCATGTGGCAGAGAAGTAAAATGAGCCTATTTCCCCGCAAAAAAGTGTTGTGTTTCTTTAAGATGTGTGTTTGATTTACAGCTATAGACAAGCAGAAGAGCCCTGGATCAGCAGAGGAGACTAGTTAACCCTCCAGTGATTTAATGACTGTCCTTTAATCTGTTTCTAGATCAGTCAGATCAGGAACAGACTCATGGTTAAGTGTGGTTTAGACGTGGAGGAGGAAAAACTGCTGTCAGCGCAACTGATGCTTAATGGAGCGTGTCAATGCGGCTATAAATCCAGCTGTTTACCTCAGCAGTTTCCCATCCGTCATTCAGCCCAATACAGTCGATGGCACGGGTTTACCGTTATGGCCATAAATATTTCAATGATATCTTGTCAATTCTGTAACTTCATATAATGTTCTGTGTCTTTTTGAATTTATTTAATGCATGAAGGCTATAAAAACTGCTTTTGCACTAAGACAATTTCTTACCTAGAGTTTTTGTCTTGTTTGTAGTCCAAATATCTAAAGATTCTTAAATTAAGAATAATTTTTGAGACAAGCAAAACAAATTGTGTTGTTTTCAGGAATAATGAGTCAAAATGAAGTGAGTTTTCCTTGAGACTAACAAAATATTCTGCAAATAGGGTCAGCAAAATAATTAAAATAAAAAACAAATATTAGATTATTCAGCTTATGCCATTGACAGAATATTTGTCTTGTTTTAGGGAAGAACTCACTTCATTTTATTTTTTAGAAATTTACTATTTATGAAAACAAGACTATTGTTCTGCTTGTCAGGAAAATGCTTCTTGATTTAGGGATATTTGGACTAGAAACAAGATGTCTGTCACAATCACCAGAGATCTAATCCTGTCAGATCGCTAAAGGACTACTAATCCTTTGGTATATGGACTACAAGTTCCAGTCATGCACCACACACACACACCTGTTTCAGATTGTGACTGATTACTCGCACACAGCTGGGAGCAGCTTACTAAAGACTAATTAGATGGATTTTAAATACAACACACACACACACACACACACACACCTTGCTGCTGAGTCTTGTTAAACTGTGAACATTACGGCGCGGTTTCCTTCGTCTTGCTTTGCCGTGTCTTGACCCTCGTCTTGTTTGTTTATTTACATTGTCCGCTGCCTGCCTTTTGACCGTCTGCCTGTTTACTGACCACAACTCTGGATTGCCTGTATACACCTGTTTACCCCTGTGTTGAGCATTGCTTGCCTGACTATTCTTAAAAAAACCTGCCTTTAGATCTACACCTCTGTCAGCGTCCCCACAATGTTACAATCACCAGCGCTCTATAAAGGTCGCTGGAGGACTACAATCCCTTCTCCATATGGACTACAACTTCCTTTAGGCACCACAAACACACACACCTGTAATTTCCCAGTGCTGGGAAACACCCATACACACTCACATTCACACACACATACACTACGGCCAGTTTAGTTCATCAGTTCCCCTGTAGCACATGTGATTGGCCTGTGGGGGAAACCGGAGCACCCGGAGGAAACCCAAGCCAACACGGGGAGAACATGCAAACTCCACACAGAAATGCCTACTGATTCAGCTGAGGCTCGAACCAGCGACCTTCTTGCTGTGAGATCACAGTGCTAGCTACTGAGCCCCCGTGCCGCCCTAAAAACCAATAACTTAACCAAATTGATTGCGTGGAACCCAACATTTTTACAGTATGGTTTTGGGAAACGAACCCTTGATTCATAATTCATAACTTGGTGTAAACTGCTAAAAGTGAGAGTTGAAGCCTGTGATATTTAAAGACTGTTGTTTTGATTGCTGCTCATGAGGCTCCACAGGCTGCTATTGACGAAATGTAATTGTGCAATGATGTCTAAAAGAAGAGGACAATTATAAAGGCAGAGGGAAAGCTCAGGCGAGCGCTAATCAAATCACAGCATATTGAAATCCCACAGAAAATCCAATTGAGCCATTAGGAAGCATATCCAGCCCGTGTCTGAAACCACAGAGCAGAAATCTCAATCACATTAAGACTCCTGAACCGATCCTGACTCTTTCACAGGGCTCTGAATGGCAGCTTGATGCTAAAAATCCCTTTGACGTGACAATCATTGTGTTACAGTCTATAAACATTGATTTGGTGTCTCTTAAGATGCATTTGCACATCCTCCGTTTAGTTTTTTAAAAACTATTACTGGTACATTGACAAGCTT